CCTACCAAGTACTCAAAGTACGGGGCTTTGAAAGTATTGGAAAATAAGCCAGTCATCTCCCTTTCTAATAATGGAGGACTTACTTGTGCGGCTAATTCACGCCACTTTTGGGCATATTCTCTTACAGACTCCTTATTGCCTTTTTCCATGGCTTGCAGACTTGATCTATCTGGGGCAATATCCATGTTGAACTTATATTGTCTAACAAAAGCATCAACCAAGTCCTTCCATCCTTTAATCTTGGTATTATCCAAACGCATATACCAAGCAAGAGCAGCATCACTTAAACTGTCCTGAAAGAAATGGATCAATAATCTCTCATCATGGACTACTTCAGCCATCTTATTATAATATGCTTTAAGATGAGTAATTGGGCGCTGAGTTCCGGTATATTTAACAAATTCTGGAACTCTGAATTTTCTAGGAATAACCACGTTAGGCACTAAACACATTTCAGCGGCCTTCACGGGATCATACAAACTATTCCCTTCTATTGCCTTCATTCTTTCTTCTAAGGCAGCTAGTTTCTCATGACCATTTTCCTCTATTATCTTGTTCCTTTGAGGTTTTTCTTCTGTCAACACAATATAGGGGATCCTCATTGGAATTGCTGATTGAGTAAGTGCAAAAGGAGCAGCATGTTGAGGTTCGAATGGTTGAATAAAAGAAGGCGGAGGCTGAGGTGTACATGTTTGTTGAGAAGATGTTCCTTCTCCAGCTCTAGGCCTCAAAGCTTGCTCGAGCAAGCTAGAGAGCCTTGCCACATCCTCTTTCAGGCTTTCTAACTCTCTTTAGTGTTGCATTTCTAATTGAGCTCTTTCTTCATTTTCCATTTTCTTTCGTGAACGAGTATTATGGATACGTTTCAGTTGGAGACCTATATTTCACCTGTTATATGCAGAATATGACAATCTATAAGCAAATGTATGAGATGCATGAATGTGAATACAACTATTAGATATAGATTCATGCTTTGTTGGTGGCATATGGTCGTTATTCATTAGATATATCGGTTGAGCTTGAACTTGATATCATTGCTGTAATGCTGAGGAGAGATCTGCTCAGCTTTTTGACATTTGGGCTTTCAGCCATATACACTTTTTTTTTTTTTTTGAAAATGTGGGTCTAACCCTTTCATTACTTATTTAAAAGCTTACAATGAAAAATTAATCTAATCTATTACAGGAGAAAAAACACTGCCTTTAGTAGCTATTGCTCTTAAAAAAAGATCGGTGTTATCCATGCTTCTTCGATACTTCATTATGTCTCCTCCTACTTGGCGGGCTTCCACTCGTAATAAATGGGCTTCTGCAACTGCTCTATCAATTTGATCTTGTAATTCTCTTATCCTCTCAGTATGAATCAAGTTGTTTCTAGATAAAAGGTTATTGGCATTGTCCAATGTTTGATTATGTTGTTTTATCATTTTCTGGTTTTCCATAAGCTTTGTGGTCTTCAATTTTTCTTTTTCCAGCTTAGATCTCAATGCTTCTACTTCAACCTTATGATCATTCAACTCTGCTCTTTGCTCTTCATGTATTTTAGTCACATGTTTAGTGTTGACTATTTCAATCTCCGCTCTCCCCAATTGGTCTTTAAGTTTGACTACGTCCGCCCGACGCACTTTTAATGCAGCTTGCATCTTAATAGCTGACTCTTCTCAATGCTTAGCTTTTGCCATATAATATGTCATGTCCTTATTAATTGTCTTCAATTCATCCTTTGCCTTTATCCAGTCTTGACCCACAGAGTCCCTTTCTTCTTCAACTGTTTTTCTCACAGCTCTTTCTTTGGCTAACTGCTACTCCAAGGACACTCTCTACTCCTCCTTTGCTTTAAGCTCAGCTTGTAATAATTTTACTTGTTCCCTTAATTCTTCTTCACTGTTCACTCTTTTCCTTCGAGTGCCCACATATTCAGAAACTTCTGCCATATAAGAGACTCCTCCATTACGCCATTCGGGATACCTTTCACTAACTGTAGGATTCCTTACACCTATCTCCTTTTTAACTATCACCAAAGAACCCCAATCATGCTTAATGCTCTCCAGCATTTCATTATATACGCCTTTGTAGACTCTAGTGAATTGAGATAAGCCAATTGTTCTTGGGATGCTTTGTATGCCCCCAAGTTGTCTTGTAACCAAAGCAGGTGCATAACTAATATACCCAGTCACCCCAATCAAAGGTACCCAAGGCTTTTTTCCATAGCCCATTAGGTATGCTACATTTTTCATCCATGGAGCTCTCCAATTAAAATGGTTTTGCAGAATTCCTTGCAATTTTACCCTCCAATCATCTTCAGAAAAGTTTTCCCATTCACTTGATACAAATAACTCGAGTGGCTTTTGATCAAACCACCAAAAATTTCGGAATACTGGTGTCTCGGACTCTATATGGCTTACCATCCAAATGAACAACAATGGAACACAACATCTCATAGAACCTTT